CGATCTAACTAAGGTCCTCAATTTGTCCATGGCCACTCTCATCGTTCCAGTAGCTCGTTTATGTAACAATTCTCTCCTAAGGCAAATTGAGATATGAATTCACCGCCCTGTTCTCTACTGCTAATGAGTAGTAGAGAATGACGTATATTCTCTACAAGTAGAGAAATAATCGGTAGAGAAGAGTTACAGAAACGAGCTACAGATATCTGGAAAACGGAGTGGCCCCACTGATGAAACCTGGAAAACCGGCCAACAAAGACGAGTGTTACGAAGCTAGGGAGATGCCAGACACTCAGGGAGCATAACATAATGCTGTGTAAGCAGTTTTCCTAGTAGAGGTAGGACGGCATACCGCCAGGCCATAACCGGCATTCACAGGGAGTCGGTCGCGACCTAAATCGACTACCGACCTGTGAGTGCCGTTTTGATTGCACAACCGCCCGATGTGGATATGGAAGAGCTTTGTTTGCCTCGAAACACTCGCGACATAATAGCACAACTTCGCTCTGGATATTACAGCAGGCTAATACCATGTTCTGACCGACAACGAAAACACTTTGAAAACGAGTTTTGGAATTGTAGGCTGAAGGTTGTTCACACCGGCTGTTAGTGTTTTCGTTGACATTTCTTACATCCTCTCATTGCAGTTTTGCTACACAAAAACAAAACCAAAATGCTTTTCCCACATTTTCTTTTCATTAGCAACCTTTTACTTTCATTCTTATTTTACTTTGGCCAGCCAATTAACCATAAATACGAAATAGCGTATTAAAGATGATAAAATATGACTTCCACTTCGATAAATAATCGAAAAGAACTAGTGAAGACACCGATTGGAACGAGTGGAACGTGAGTTTTCAAGTAGTTTTCAGCGAAAACTGGTTTTCGTTTGACAGATTTTACATGGACGAAAACACATGTTTTAGGTCGAAAACTAGTTTTAGCAACGAAAACATGTTTTCGATGCCGTTCAGAACATGGTATTAACTCGTCCCAGGGCAGAGTGAATCTAGATGTACCCAACGAGTGCCCGGCATACGGAGAAGCACCACATGACTCACGGCACCTCTTCGCATGCCCAAAAACCCCACGCAGCTAATGCCCTTGTCCCTATTGACAAACACTATTCGAGTTTCGAAATTCCTGGATCTCCCGTCAGATTGAAGAGGCTGATTATACGAACATGGCAACGAGTCCAAACATCGACTGCCTTGCGGAAAAATCACTGACTATCTCACTAATCTTTCAAACTACTTCACTGTGAGGTCCCTTAACACTTCCGCCGCAAAATCCACCACCGCACTTTTCATCACCTGGGCTTAGGAGGCAACACTGGAACTGGCCGTCGATGGCAACAGCATACCAACGGTCAACCACTCCGAAATCGTGGTTGTCGCGTTCTCTTTTTCAGCGCACGCTTCAGTCGCTTTTGTTTAAGTATTTGTCTTATTATACAGCCTAGGGATGGGTAGTGGGGCATTGAAATTCGATTTTTTCCGAATTTCGAACATTGCCCAACCATTCGATTTTTCGATTCGAAATTCGGTGGTGCAAATTCGATTTAATTCGAATTTTTTCGAATTTCGCAAAATTTTTTTGAAGTGAAACTTCTTAATCGAGTTCGGAGATGTTAGCGTTAAATATTTAACACCAAGTCATAAAATCTGTATTTAAAAAAATTAGGAGTCGAATTAAAGGCTTGTCCTTTGGGTCTGCAACATAGTTTTAGTTCTATGAAAAGGGTTGCCACAGGTTAGAAAATCAAATTCAAATAATCGCTTCCGCAGATGTTTGCGTTAAATATTTAACTCCAAGTCATAAAATCTGTATCGTTCGTTCGATTTTCAAAAAGGGGGTAGGTGTCAAATGAAATGTAGATGTGTAACATGGTTTTAGTTTTATGCCATATGTAAGAAAATCAAAATCAAATTACATATTTAATAAGTTAAATAAATTACTCCAACATGGGTATCAATCGAAATGGTTTTGAATAAACTTTTTTTTAATTACATTTGGGAGAGTTGCCATCTGTTTGAAAAGTCGAATTTATATAAAGAAGTGTTGTACTTAAAATACTATGCAACAATTAAAATCTTTTTGAGGAGCTTGAAGGGAGTGGCCACCTGTTTGAATAGTTAATCTTTAATTAGTTAATAAAATTACACTGTGCGACAGCCGAAACCAGCCCGTACTCTGTTAACATTTTCTGAATGTCTATCCATCCAGTAGTAAAACGCTCGATGGATATGTAAAAGTTAGCCCGTATTTTAATTTTATGGCCTACTAAAGTTTTCATATCTCGGCCTAAGTAGTTTTCAAAAAAGTCGAAAAAATAGTTAAAATAAATGTCTGAGCGAAATTAAAGGTTAAGACATATATATTAAAATTTCTTTGGAAATATTTTCGTAGAACATTTTAACCCATTATCTCCCGCCTAAAACGGTCATATTTGACCCTTACTTCAAGAAATCTCGCAAAAAGCAAATTTTGCAGATCGTTTATGGATTGATATATTCTAAAAAATTATTCTCCGGAAAATTTTACTAGGGGTCTTCTCAGGCAAAAGCTTCATGTTACTAACGTAAAAGCCTCTAAAAATTTAAAATAAAAAATCAACAAAGAAACTAGTTTTTTCATAAAAAAAAATTTTTAAATTGAATTTGGAATAACAGTTCCTTCTTGGCACAGATTTTTTGTTCTTATACATCAGTTCAAAAAACATGTATTTTTTCCTTGAATCCCTAAGACAAATGGAGTGCCACACACAGTGATGGCAAATTTAGTCAGAAAGAAAAAATTTGAAGAGTTGATTTTTTGGAAATAAAGATGAAATTCGATTTTTTCTGGAAAAATTCGATTTTATCCGAATTTTAGCAACACAAAGTTCGATTTCAAAAATTCGCCATTTTGGAGCTAAAATTCGATTAAAATTCGAATATCGAAGCTTCGAATATCGAATTTACCCATCCCTAATACAGCCACGAATAAACTTTCTTTTAAGTAATCCAAAAAGTATTTAAAAATTTTTAACTGTTGGCAGCCCAGTCAACGACCCAATCACAATAGGGACCTTTTGTTTTGATAGCAGACAGCTGTTTACTGGTATACTGTGGTTTACTGTTTGCTTTGTTGTATGAAAAATTTTCCAAAAAAAAGATCATTTAATGTTATAGATGTTCGCTTTAAAATACACGCGATATATGAATTTATAAATTGTTACTAATAACGAACCAGCAACACTAAGTGTGTGCATAGAAGCAAGCAAAGAGCGCTTTTATTATTAGCTTGTGCATCGGCTTGGGCGTTTACTGCAAAATGGAGCAACTTTCTGGTGTTATGATTATCATCATAATTGGTGGCGGCGTTCTCACCTTTGTGATGCTATTCATCTTTGCAAAACGACAAATTATGCGTTTTACGCTGCGTAGTCGTCGCGGGCCGCATGTGCCTGTAGGCAATGATGCAAAAAAGGTTCGAATGCAAATGGTAACCAATCGGAAACTATTGATGTCATTTACCCCCCTATTCCTTATAGACGCTTCGAAGAGAGATTGAGCGCCGCCTCGATTGCATTCAGAAAATAGCGCAAGAGCCAAGGCTACCCTGGGATGATGACAAGTACATTTTGCGTACGGATCAACCGGTCCCACCCTACTATTATCGTATGAAAGCTGTTGACGATGTTAAAACTCTGGGTATGCAAAGTATAATTGCATTTCTTAAGTGTTTTTGTAATCAGCTTATTTTCGGTCTTAGAATCGGAAATCATGCGCAGCGATGGTAGCATGCGACATCCGTATGACAGTCTACGTGCTTTCTTGCTCACTACACTTGCCGCTACGACACTGAATGGTTCGGGTCAACAACGTATGATACACCAATTTTGTGATATGTATGAGCATGCACGGCATGATCCAAATGACTTTGGCAGTGAGGAATATGAATCATATCGTCGTTTGCTGCTAAAACTGATAGAAGCGTACGTATATTTACATTTCAATATATTTTATTAAAAAAACAAAAAAACCTTTACCACTAGCGCTAAGCAACTTAAATCACTGGTCAGCTCCCGGAAAACATCGCCGGCGCGCACACCCAAAAAACAAACTAAAATGCATTCACTTCTCGACCCAGCGCGTTTACGACCACCTGCTACGGCACCTAAGCTAGTAGCAAGTAGTGGCTTAACTGTTGGGCAGCAATCTAAAGTAAATTTAACCCTTGGACTACAAGGACGTAACATGGATGCTGTGGATATACCTTCAAATCCTTTACATTTGCAACCGCCACCAGAGCGCGACATCATAATACGCAATCGCATAAAAACACCTACTTTGGATGACGACGATGGTGATGAAAACGACTTTAGAGGCGGCGGGCATGATATCAATGATGTACGCATTGAAGATGTCGACGAGGAAGACAATGAGGTGATGAGTATTTCCTGAACGCAATTTCAACGCAATTCAAGTGTTGTTTGATTGTTTGAGTACGCGACGCATGCGCGCCACATGACCAGCGCTTTAAGACGCTTGCTACCGAAATAAAAGGAAGTGAGTAAGAGGAATGCAAAGTAGCGTTTACTAAGCGAAAGTATCAAAGAAAAGCGAAAATATTTAATTCGGGTCCTCTATTTAATCTTAAAAGCCAAATTCAAATGTCAACAGCTTAAAGTTTATACATATGAGATTCACTAAATTTCGCATTAATATGCAAAATAATTTCGGATTTAAGTTAAGTTATTAAGAAATTGCGAGCCGATTTTCATTACTAAATAAGCATATTAGCTATATTATATTAAACTTAGCGCAATATAATTAAATTAATCATAAAGAAAGCTACCAAAAACAAAAATACAACTGTGTGTTAATTTTGAAAAAACATTACGTTCAACTACATATTTGTTAAATTTTTCATTATTAATATATCTGCAATTACTAATTAGTAACTAATATTTGATATCAATAAGCGCAAAAAAAATTAATAAAGTAAATGAAAAAGCAGAACAATCAATAAACCCATGTCATCATACTCGGTACATACAAACACTTATCATTATAATCAAATTACTAGCATATCAATAGGCGCTCAACGAGTGCTGCGCCTACCTTATCACTCATCCATATCACGCTGATAACAATCTACTCGATACTGATAGACGGTCTCTCTCATTGATATAGCAATTGAAATTAGTTGATTGACAAAGCTACCAGAGTGCGCGAGCGCGATACGGAAAATAAATAAACAATAGCCGAAGACCCCAAAATTAAGCAAACACTAAATAAAGTAAACTCCTATAGTTGGCCAGAGAACAAGAAAATTTTCTAACATATTGTACTGCCTTACAAAGAATGCAGTGCATTGAGGGACTCGAAAATATAACCATATATGCACAAGCAACGATATCAATAGACAGCACTAATCACAGCATCCATGAGATACTTTTTGCGCCAGAAAATTGTGTTTGGAAACGCAGTGAACCAACATTTGCAGAATATGTGATTTATGCTTTTGTCGTCCCAGTGCTTTCCTGCTTCGGGTTATGTGCAAACTTTATCAATGCTATTGTTTTCATGCGTCCCAAAATGACACCATCAGCATTTACTTACCTTGCTGCACTCGGCTGGCTCGACTGTTTTTCTTGCATACTCATCTTGTTAACCGCGCTCTCGCGAAGCGTTTTCTACAACAGCATTTTTTGGATGAGGTACGATTTCCAATGGCAGACACCGCTATTTAGTATTAGCACCGGAGCGGCGAATCTTTTACTTGCAAGCGTCAGCTGTGATCGTTGGATTTATTTGAGGCATGGAATTGCAAACGGTGGTGGCCCACCTTGGTTTTGTCGTCGCAAAATAGCTCGTCGTGTTATTGGACTGGTCATTGTTATAACTGTGATTATAAATATTCCATATTTTTTCGTTTTTGTAGTCAATGACGACGGCACATTTAAAGCACACAAATTATACTACACCACGTAAGTAAAGCGAGGGAATTCAAAAATGTTCACTTATTTTAGCGCGTTATCAGAACAGTGGCTGTCAAAATTTTTGTCAGCTGTATTTTACCGCTTGAATTGCATTTCCGATTCTTCTTCTTAACTTAGAGTGCATAGTCGTTAGAGTTTTTTTTGTAGGTTTAGATTATTAACGGTACTATAATCAGAGTCACCTTAAATTAACCTAACGTCAAAATTTACCTTTCTAAACGCCAAGTCTATTTTTTCTCTTTTAGTTTTTATAAAATAAGTAATTGGAGTTCTTTGACACTGTTAACACTTTTGCCCGCTATATTTCTTGTGGTCGGCAACATCGCCATCGTTATAGCGTTTCGACGTTGGACCCAGCAAAGCAGAAAATTTCAAAGGAATGGAAATGCCAACTCAAAAACAACACAAAAGCGTTATCATGTAAGCACAGAGTGGTTCCGACAAATTATTTCAAAAAAAAAATCACAATTTCCGTTTCCTCAATATATCAAATGCTTTTTTTCGGCAACAGCACCAAATGAAGTTAACTATTACCATTATCATTATAATTACACTTTATATGGTCGGGGAACTGCCGGCAGCGATGACATCACGCAAAAGTGCTTTGAATTTGCTCTTCGGCGGCGATGTATCCCGCGTAAATTTTAGTTTGATCTGTCGTCTTGAGCTGATTTGCTTAACCCTAAATGCACTCCAGCTAAGCATGAACATACTGGTCTATGCCATTATAAATCCATCGTTTATACCTGAATTTTTCGATTGTCTGCGTGGTGCTTCCGATGCTTGTTGCAGCATACTTTGCTTGATGCCTCTAATAAAGTGTGTACGCAGAAATTGCTGCAGCACGAAAAATGATAAACAGCTAGACGCAAACCGTGGGATAGAGTGCGGTTTGGAACATAAAACTGTTGATATCCGCAAAGAGTGTGAATCTGAATCGCAACGGGTTGAAGTGAGAAAGAGTGTGCGCGGAGGCAACGAAGGCAGAAGCGCTAGCGAAACTGGCAATTGGGATACTGAACCCGAAGAAACTGCTGGTGTGTTTGGCTTCACCTTGTATCGCAATTGGCAGAACAGTGTAACAACGCGGCGCAAGCCAAATTCTTATCGCCTTAGCGGTAAACACAGCACACACGAGCATGAAGTCTGGAGCACAGAAATGGCTTGGAAGCGGTCCACTTCTTTTAGTGAGTATGTATTTGATAATCAGGTACTGCAAATTGATACTGTGATCGAAGAAGTAACTCGTGCCAGATTGGAAGAAATTGAGAAGCAGGAGAAGAAGCAGTGCAATGAAATTATATTTTCGCTCCCTGTTTAAATCAACAGGAATGTACAAAAGAAATCAAAAATTAATCACTGGTCATACATAGAATTAAGGATATACCTACATATTTTAATTTATTATAATAAGAATACAACTGATTCAATAAAACACCTCATTTTAACCCACTACGTATTTCATTCTTGGATCGTACATCCTCCAAAGCCTGCCGAACGCGCTGTGGTGCATCCTCATCGTATTCTTTCTTCGCTTTCAAATTTGGTCTCACCAGGCTTCCACGAGGATCGGGGGATGCAGCACCATTTTCCTGGCTCTTAGACTCATTTGGTGCTGCTTGTGTGTCGATTTTTTTAGGCACTTGTGCAGGTAGTTCTACTGTGTACTCAGTATCTTCATAAATTACCGGGACGTATACAGCAAGCAGGGTTTGCCATTCCTTGTAGGCAAACTGGCGTGCCAAATCCATGTTGAAATCGAAAATTTGCATTATTGGATCTTTGCGGGTTAATTTCACTATTTTTATGCCAATTGTAGCTTTGGGATCTTCTGGCGATCCATATTCAAACTTTTCTGATGCATCCATATTGTCCATAGCCCATTCTTCTTCCAAGTTGCTATTAAACTTTTCCATTGGTATAACCCAGGCGTAGCAGATAGTTGTAAGTAAAATAGTTAGGCTTGAAATTATGAAAAAGACTTGATAATTATTCATTTTCGATACTTTAGCGACTTTGGTGTCGTATCTTGAACGTCCGCTATGCAACTGACGTAGCTAAATATTTAGTTTCCAACAGTTCTAACAAAAATATTTATTACGTGGAGACTCGTAATAAAATAGAAAAATAAACAAAAGCGTTTCATTACGAACAAACGCATATATGTATAAACCTTAAAATGTGCATATAACTTAAAAACTAAAGTACTTTGGCTATGAAGTACACTTGTGTACACAAATACACAAAAATATGTTTAACACACGTGATTCTAAGTCTAAGCCCTAATTACCCAGCATTTGAACCTTGAAATAACATTTCAAGTAAATTGGGCAAACAATTAATTAAAAACAAAAACTTAACATATTAAGGTATTTTTAGAAAAATCTAAAAATTTAGGCTTTCCTAACCAATTATATTTAATAAGTTCTTCCATTGTGGTCAATAGGAATTTTGCTCCGTTGCTTGTCATTAGCAAATCA